TATTATTATTAATTTTTAAAAACACTCAATTTTTGAGTTTTTATTTTAATGTTCTCTCCCTTTCTCAGTGTTAACACATGCTGTCAATATTATTTATTGACAGATTTACCGTGGATTTTTAGTTTTTAACGGTATCATTATGCAACATTAGTGGTTTAAATTAGATAACCAAGAACCTTCTGAGTATAAAATGGAGGTAAAATTAGATCCTCCTTATAAATTTTCTAGCCCCTTGTTACCTTCGTGATGGTTAGACTTGTTTCTTCAAGGGACTGCTACGCAAATTTGGCACCACATGAGTTGAAGCAGTCTTCATGAAATGGATGGACCTCCATGCTTTTTTAAAAGTTTTTTGAAATGTTCATTGTACCAAATACAATTTTATTTATTAATGCAACTTATTTATTTATGAAGATCTTGGACTTTTCTCTACCAAAACATTGGTAGAAGCTAACAATGAACATATGGTAGAGGTGAGGACACAGTTGTTGCAACCAGCTGATGAAAACTGGGATCCCACTGGAACAAAGAAAATCTGGCGTTGTGAAAGTAATAGATCTCATACCACAATCGCTAAGTATGCACAGTACCAGGCCTCCTCCTTCCAGGAATCATTGAGGGTAAGTGTTTATTTCCAGGATACTACTTTTATAACAATTTGTTTAGTTCATATAAGTGCTGTAACTTACAAATTATTAAAGTTCTAAAAATTTAAGCAAAGTTAATAGTTCATGAAATACGTATAGTTAATTTACTGTCTTATAAGTCCTTGTTTTTGAAATGCTTTTATTTAGAATGTTAAGTAGTTTACTAATAGTTGAAAAAACAATTTTAATATGAAGAAAATAATGTGTGTAGCTCTCATTTTCATCTGGTCAGTGAAAAGATGTTTCTATTTTGTTTTATCTGAAAGATATTCCTGTAGGAAGCATTACTACAGTCCCTGTGTCGGTCTTAGTTTCTAAAGAAAACTTCATTAGAAGAAGAAATTTACCAAAATATCTTAAAATAAATGAGAAGTTAAAAAAAGTTTATACCAAGGAGTAGGTACTAAAAGACCTAGTAGGAAGTGAATCAAAAATAGAGTACCTAGTATTATTAAAACAAGAACTTTTTTTTTTTTAAATATATCTTTATTGATTTCAGAGAGAGGAAAAGAGAGGGGGAGAGAGAGAGATAGACATATCAATGACGAGTCATTGATCTGCTGCCTCCTGCACGCCCCCAACTGGGGATTGAGCTCGCAAGCCTGACCTGTGCCCTGACCTGGAATTGAACCCGATCACCTGGATCCTAGGTCGACGCTCAACCACTGAGCCATGCCTGGCCAGGCTAAAATAAGAACTTTTAAATTCTTTCACAAAATGAACATAATAATAATGAGATCACTAGATATATTACTCAAATATTTAATTTTAATAGTTTTCCTCCTGTGTGTCTAAATTTAAACTGAATTTGGACTACATATGTCCCAGATAAAATGATACTGAAGTCTCATTAAAAATAAACTATAGGGTTAGAGATTTCTTATCAACCATAATACTTTAAGTGAAAGACTAGCTTTTTTTTTAATAGTCTAATTTTTTTAAGAATACATCAAAGTACTACAACTGAAACATAATTGAAAGTTTTACATGTGTAATCCTTTCACGTCATTTTTCTTGGGACAGTATTTAAAATTCTGACCTTATTTTTACATTTTGACTTTTACTTATTTATTAATCCTCATCAGAGGACATTTTTTCCATTGCTTTTCAGAGAGAGAGAAAAATTGATGAGACACACATCAATTGGTGCCTCCTGAACGAAGTAGGGATTGAGCTTGCAAGGATGCACGTGCCCTGAAATGAATCGAATCCGAGACCCTTCATTCCAAGGGCTGATGCTTTAACCACTGAGCCAGTCCCAGCCAGGGCTCATTTTTACATTTTTAATCATTATTATTCATCTCCAGCACTTTTTCATCATCCCAAACTGAAAGTCTGTGTATCCTTTCAAAAAGAATTCATCACTACCTTCTTTCCAGTCTCTGGTACCCACTATTTGCTTTCTGTTTCTGTAAGTTTGACAATTCTGGTTGCTTGTAAAAGTGAGATCATGTAGTATTTGTCCTTTTGTTATTTCATTTAGCAGAATGTCTTTCAAGATCATGCATGTTTCACAATTACATTTCTATTTAAAACTTCAGAGTACTCCATTGCTGAGTATAGCATAAACATTTTGTTTATCCCATCGTCTATTGATGAATATTTGCATTATTTGCTTTTATGAATAATACAGCTATGAAAATTGGTGTGCAAACATGTTTTAATTTCTGCTTTCAGTTCTTTTGGGTCTGTAGCCAGTTGAATGAACGACTACGGCATGTGGTGATTCTATGCTTAATTTTTTACAACCTGTTTTTACAGTTGCTGTACCATTTTATACTTCTGTCAGTATGACACAAGAGTTCTAGTTTCTACACACTCTCACCAAAAAACCACTGTTTTTTTTTTCAATAGCTGTTTGAAGGAATGAGGAATGGTATCTCTTGGTTTTAATTTGCATTTCCAAATGATGAGTGATGTTTAGAATCTTCTTTTGCTTTCATTTGTATTTCTTTGGAGAAATATTTATTCAAGTTCATTGCCCATTTTTTAATTGTGTTATCAGTTATTTTTCTGTTGTGTAGTAGGAATTCTTTCTGTGTCCTGAGTATTCCATATTAGATACATGAATAGCAAATATTTTACCATTTTATGGGTTCTTAATCTTATTGATAATGCTGTGATGCACAGATTTTTAAAATTCTGATTAATTTATTTTTCTTTTGTTGGCTGTGCTTTTGGTGTCATTTTCAAGAAATAATTGCCAAATCTAATGTCAAAAAGTTTTGCCATATATTTTTTTAAAGAACTTGATTGTTTTCAGCTCTGTGGTTGGATCTGTGGTTCATTTTTCATTCATTTGTATATGGTATAATAGTCCAACTTTCGTTGTTTTTATGTATCCATGTAGTTTTCCAATAACATTTGTTGAAAAAACTGTTCTGTCTCCCATTCAGTAGTTTGGCATCCTCATTAAAAGTCATTTGACAGTATTATGTCAGGTTTTATTTCTGGGTTCTTATTCCATCATTCTGAATGTCTTTGTGTCCATATCACACTATTTTGTTTTACTCTTTGTGATAATAATTTTGGAAATCAGAAAGTGTGTGACACCCCCCCCCCAGCTTTGTTGTTCCTTATTTAAATTGTTTTCACCACACTTGAGTCCCTTAAGATTCTATATCATTTTAAGATGGATTTCATTATTTCAGTGGGGAGGATTGGAATTTTGATGTGGGTTACATTGAATCTGTAGCTTCCTTTGGGTGCTGTTGACATAATGGAATTCTTGTCCTTTTCCCTGATCTAAGTGTATAAGCTTTCAGTCTTTCACCATGGGGTATGATGTTAACTGTGAGTCTTTCATACGTGGATATTGTTAGGTTGAGATGTTTTCGTTCTTTTTCCCATTTTTTCCTTCATTCTGCTTATGTGGTATTTTAAGTTTAATTTTTTAGTTTAATTTTCAGGAATTCTGTCCACTAGTATCTTTTGAAAAAACTTTTGTGGTAATATTTTTAACAGATAATGGTCTGTAATTTTTTTGTAGTGCCTTTGCTTCAGGTGTCAAGGTAATGCTGTTTTTAAAAATGAGATTGAAGCTTTATCCTCTTTTTGGAAATGTCTTTTAGTCAGACCTAAATAGTTCAGATTGGCTCTCTTTGTGTTGAGAAAAACAATTGGGGATTATTTTTTTCATCTTTCAGATGGACCTGCAGCATATTGTAGGAGGAGTACAGATGGGCAAGTGAAAATACCAAAAGATTTCCTATTTTAAAGTGGTCTAAATATTACTTGACTTTATTTATTATTTTTGCTAGATTGCTATATATCTGTGTTGTTGTTTTTTCATAGCTTCTATAAGGTATTTTATTCTCAGTTTCTTGTTATTTATTTTTCAAGAGAGAAAAAGTCCTCTTTTTCGACCACCATTTTGGCAGGTATAAGCCATACACCATTTTCTTCTATACAGCTTTTTTCCTATATAATAAACGTAACATATAACTCACCCACAGTGTACAGTTGAATGACTTTTAGTATAATTGTAGTTGTACAGTCATCACCATAATTTATTTTCCAACATTTCATTATCCCTAAATGAGTGTTCATACTTATTAGCAGACACACTCTGACCTGACAACCATAGCCCAAGCAACCACCTATATACTTAATGTTTCTATACATTTGCCTATTTCATGTATTAATGTATGTGGAATTATATAATATGTGATCTTTAGTGACTTGCCACCTTTTTTAGCATAAAATTTTTAAAGTTTATCCTTGATGTAACATCTGTTACATTATTTCTGCTTTATTGCCAAATACTATTACAGTAAATAAATATGCATCACTTTTAATGTTTTTTGGTCAGTTGTTGGCTTACAGACAAAAACAAGAATTTATGGGTACATACAGTTCTCTTTTTCTTGGGTAGATGCTTGATAGAATTGCTAGGTTATATGGTAATTCAGTGTTTATTCTTTTTTATATATATCTTTATTGATTTCAGAGAGGGGAAGGAAGAGGGGGGAAGAGAGAGAGAGAGAGAGGGAAACATCAGTGATGAGAGAGGATCATTTCTTGCCTGCCTCCTAGAGATTAAATGGAAGTATCATACTGAGGGATTGAGCCCACAACTGGGGCATGTCCCCTGACTGGGAATCGAACCTCAGTCTCCTGGATCATAGGTCAGTGCTCAACCACTGAACCATGCCAGCCGGAAAATGTATATTCTTTTAAGTAACTTGTCAGATTTTTACAAAATGGATGCACTGTATTACATTCCCATCACTGATAGGAAAGAATTCTATTTATTTACACCTTCCACACTTGATATGTCCTTTTAAAAAAAATTGTTTTATTTTGATAAAATACATGTAACAAAATTACTCACTTAACCAAAATTACTCACTACAACCATTACCAATACCTACCTTTACAGCTCTCTTCATCTTCTAAAACTAAAAGTCTATACCTAATAAACAGTAACTTCTATTTCTTTATCTATTTTTAGTAGAAACTGTCTTTTACCCCTTTTCTTTAAAAAATGTTTTGTATCCCAGCGAGCATGGCTATTTTATTTGTCTCTCTATGGGCACTTAGGTTGTTTTCATAAGTAAGCTATGGCAAATAATGCTGCAATCAACATAAGGATATTCAAATTAGTGTTTTGGATTTCTTTGGATAAATACCCAGAAGTGGGATTGCTGGGTCATTTGGTAGCTCCACTTTTAATTTGGGGGGGACTCTTCATGCTTTTTCCATAGTGGGTGTACTAATTCGCAGTCACACCACAAGGGTTCTTTCTTCTCCATATTCTCACCAACACTTATTTGTTGATTTATTGATGATAACCATTTTGACAGGTGTGACTTGATATCTCATTGCTGTTTTGATGGGCATCTCTTTGCTGATTAGTTCTGTTGAGCATCTTTTCATGTCTGTTGGCCATTTGTATGTCCTCTGGAAAAGCCCTTTGCTGATTTTTTAATCAGATTTTTTATCTTTTTGGTGAGGTTCTTTATATTTTGGAT